TGCAAGGCATGTTCCATCATCCTCTCCCAACCTCCTCCTCAGTGGCGAGGCCCATCATCCCCTCCCAGCCCGTGCATAATATGGCCCATCATCCCCTCCCAGGAGCTGCATGGATTATCCCATCATCCCCTCCCAGCCCGTGCATGATGTGGCCCATCATCCCCTCCTAGGAGCTGCATGGATTATCCCATCATCCCCTCCCAACTTATGAATGGCCATGTTCCATCATCCTCTCCCACCCCGTTCATGGCGTGGCCCATCATCCCCTTCCAGCCCCTGTATAGTATGTCCCATTATTCCCTCCCAGCCCCTGCATGGCATGCCCCCATCGTCCCCGCCCAGTCGGTGCATATGTCCCATCTTACCAACCCGTGCATGCCATGTCCCATCATCCCCTCCCCAGCCCCTGCATAGTAGGTCCCATCATCCCTTGCCAATTGGCGCAAAGGGGAAATGGGACTCTTTCCCTCCTCGCCTCTCCCTTCCCAAGGCCCCCGGACCCGGAAAACGCGGGTGGAAAAAGCGCTCTTGGACGCGCGTTCCCTTTGCTGGCTGCGTTCACACGACACGTGGACCCGAGAGTCCCTTCCCCTGGCGCAGCCTTTCCAGCCCGGGACACGGGGGGCGGGGGAGGCTAGGATCTCACCGAGGGAGGAGACTGGGAGCTTCCCGGATCTGCCCGGGCTTGCAAACTCAATGCAAAGGGATGAAAGCGCGCAGAGATTTGACTCGGAGGATTCCCGGGGTCGGCTGGAGATCCGGCGGGTGGATTCCCCGGGGCTTTGGCTGGGGTGGCGGGGGAGAGAGAGCAAATGCCTGTGTGGAAATGGGACCCCCCCCACTTGCTTCCCCCCACCCCCTTGCGCGCAAGAGAAAGGCGATCCAGACGGTGGAGATGCGCTGATTCTTTGCATTCAGCTCCCTGGGAATTTTATTTTATTTTATTTTGTGTGGTGGTGGGGAGACTTTTGGCTCAAGCAGAGAATGTTGAAGGGTGGGGGGGCGATGTATGGTTTCTTTTAGAGGAGGGGCTGGAAAATGCAGAGTAGGGGGAGGGGGAAAAAAATCAGATTTAAATGGGTTGCATTCACAGGACATATTAGAGGAAAGAGCAGAAAACTTTCTCTTGCATCAATTCCCCCAAATCAAGCCATTCCTGGGTTTTCCTTTATGCCTAAAAATAAAACGCACAAATGGCATTTATGAAGACTTTTAATTCAGCTGGATAGGCAGGTGGAAGCTGGCTAGTCTCTAATAAACCAGGATTGCTTTCCCTTTGAAGAAGTCTGCTTGTTCCTGGGTTTTCATTCAGGCTTAAAAATAAAATGAACCAGGGCTGC